TTGAGCCGGTGAGATTTGAACCGCTGAACTGCAGATAACAGTCAGCTGAAGTGGCCTGCAGTACTGCACCCTAACCACTGCGCCACCTCGGCTGGGGACCGTAGGACAGGGAAGGTAGGCACGCTGGTGCGCTTATGCACGCCCACTTTACGGACCTCTTAGGAATGGAGCGAGGTCCAGGGTAGACAGTTTGAGGTTGAAGCTGTGAGGATTAGAGGATGTAATAATGAAGTCAGGTAGAGCATTCCCGGGGTTGACCACTCTGTTGCTGAAGTCGTGTTTTCTGCAATCGAGTTTGGAGCGATTTACCTTGAGTTTGTATCGATTGTTTGCCGGTGTATTATTGAGGTTGAAGCCGAAGTAGTCATTGACAGGTAGGACGTCCTAGCAGACAATTTTGTGTACTATGCTTAGGTCCAACCGCAGGCAGCCCAGTTCTAGATTGTCCAAGGCCAAAATTTTGAGCCTGGTGGCATAAGGGATTCTATTGTGAGCAGAGGAGTGGAGGACTCTTTACTTTTACAAATTCCAGGATTCCCTAGAACATCGTATCAAATCAAAAAATGGGCCCCAAATTATAAAGACAGACCAAAGGGTGAAAGAATCCATAATGTTAAAAATGAGATAATCTTCTAACATCGACAAAAAGAGACAAAATAATAATAGTAACAATAATAGGGTGCAATTCAATGGGGTGAACACCATCGACATTGACGAAATCACCATCGGTCAATTGCAAAGGCAGCTTTCCTTGGAAGAGCTTCCATCCTGCGATGATATCTATAACACTATCAAACATCAACATCTGCCTATCCCAGTTCCTTGGGAGAGATGCACAGAAATGTCAAAGCTGGTGTGAACATCTGGCCGACTGTACGACGAGCAATAATAAAATAATATTATTAGCTTTGCAAGAAAACCTAGATGCCTTCTGTTGAAAATGTTTTCAATTCTTTTGAAAGGGCCAGGACAGGGATGAGACACCTATGGTTTTCCAGTTGTAGCAGAGCAATAGCTCCAGCAACTCCGTCCAACGGGCTCAATGTTGGGGTACTGCAAGTTGAAGCTGATGAATCTACAGAAAGCCATGTGGTCTTCTTGCCTCCAGAAGGTGTGGGAGCTCCAACACAGGTGGTTTTAAAGAAGCAATTGAACATCCATTTGGCTGAAATGGTATGGGGTTTTCTGCTTGAGCAGAGGATTGGACTAGAAGACCTCCAAGGCCTTCCCTTTTCATTATGTGGTCAACAAGAAGGAAAAGGTATTTTTCATACCCCAAAATATCAACGGTGGTGCCAGGTGGACCTCTCTGAGGAGAAAATTCCATAGCTTAGCCGCCATATTGAAAAGAGAATTTGTGTCAGGGTTCCAAGTAACAGACCCAACACAATGAAACCTCTGAAGCTCTGAAAATCTGACTCTGAAGATCCCACGGTTTTCCCCAACCAAATTAAAAATCAAAGTTCCTTCTCCCAGTCTACATATCCATCACATGGTCCTATCTGGTCATAATCCCAACCTCAGCTGATTTCAATCCACACCTCCTCAACACCTGGTGAGAGCGTCCTTGGTTCTCAGGAGAAAGAATTTTATTTTGGATACAAGTCCCCAGCTATCTCTATTCCCCTCTCCCTTCCCCACAGCTCCAACGAGAATAGCTGTGACAGCCTTGAAGATGCTTCAAAATGGTTTCAGGGTTAACCATCGGCTTCATTGCTGCTCTTCATACTTCAGAAGAGTGGAGCACTTGTAGAAAAACTTACATTTGTTCATTTTGAAGCACGAGGAGTTCTAAGTTAGGTCTGAAGCTTTCATTAAAATCAGTTGTGAGGAACCTGTAGTCTTCCAAACGCACATGAATTACAATTTTATTATCTTTCCTGGAATCCAGTGACAAATTTCCCACTGCAGTTCTGTTTATTGGGGTGCTACATTATAAAAGACATTCATAGCTGAATCAGACACCAATTAAAAAATAGACGCAGTAAAAAAATAACTGGAACATTAAAGCTTTCAGATTTGGGTTAATGTCAGGGTTCCAAATATCATCCAAAATTAAATCAGAGTCCAAGGCAAAATATTGTTCAAAGTCCCAATTTATTAAGAGAGCCATGTTGGCACATCTGGGAAAACCCGAATCTGAAAGCTTCCCAGTTTTCCCCACCCAGTTGAAATTTCAAGGCACCCACAAGTCCATCACATGGTCCACTCTTCCACTGCCATGCTGGCAGCTCCACCCATCCAGTTCCGGTCAGGTGCAGAGGTTGACCTTGGCTTTCTAAAAGGAATTTTGTTTTGGTTACATAACATCTAACTCCTTACAATCCCCCCCTGTTTTCCCACAAAGAAAAGGCATAGTAAAATAATAAAAAGTTCCAAGAGGAATATGACTGCAGGCCTGACAGTCGTCACATCATATTCATTGATACAAAAGACATTTTTGTAACTAAAACCTAAAAAGAAAAT